ACATAATCATTAATTTATTGCAAAAACATGACAGATAACCTGTGAAACAGATCCAGTTCAGCTGCTGTTTATCTATTAGTTTCTATGTTTGCTGTGAGCTGTTGTCCTGTTTGGTCTGTTTCTGCTCCTCCATGTTGTCACAGACACTAATGCTACATTTACACCAGGGGTGTCAAACTCCTGTCCTCGAGGGCCGCTATCCTGCATGTTTTAGAGGTTTTCTTGCTCCAACACACCAGATTTTGATCGCTGGGTAATTAACAGGCTTCTGCCCAATTTGAAGAGTTAATTCAATCACTGAATCAGGTGTGTTGGAGCTGGAAAACCTCTAAAACATGCAGGATAGTGGCCCTCGAGGACTGGAGTTTGACACCCCTGATTTACACCAAACGCGTTTTGAGCATCAGGAGCATCTGGTTTACATGCAAAGTCAATGGTGGATGCGCATCTAGGGGCGTCTAGAAGCCAAGCAGCACGTCTGGTGCATTTGGAGCAGCGCGGCTCGAAGCAGTGCACGTGCGGCACGTCCCAAGCGTCCAACCCATGAGTTGGAAAATCTGAAGTTTTGCTGCTCGACACATCGCATCAACCAGTCCGACTCATTTTTCCACGTGACAGTTTCCTGAATGTTGCCCACTAAACCGAAACAGACGAACAGGAGATCTTTACCTGAAATCGACCATCTGTAGTTGGATTTTCTGGCTGGATATATCAGTACTGATGTGGATCAGCTGGTCGGGAGAAAAAAAAGTGTGGTGGGGTCTGTCAGCTGGCAGCTTCTGGAGCRGCGAAACTAACCAAACAAATCGCCTCTAAATCATCTGGTGAATTAATTATCTGCTGTGCRCAACGTTCGCTTGTTCTTCAGTAAATAAATCAAAGCCATTTTCTTTATTTTATCTTTATTTCACCCGCCGAGGGCAGACGCTCCTCCTCCCACACCCCGCTGCYGCTGCTTCTCATTCTGGTCTGTCCAGCATCACGTTTTGAGATTTTTGGAGGCGCGCAACGCGTTTGGTGTAAACGTAGCATAACAGTGGATGGTATGGGCGGGGCTCAGTCTAATGATCTATATATTTAAGTCTATGATCCAAACTAATCAAGAGGAATTTTAACATGCAGAAGGAAAATGAGTCAAAACACACTGACAACAAAACTAAGAACTTCATCAGGTTTTAGATTGGCCAAGTCAATCACCTGACCTGAACACAACAGAGTCACCTCCTGAAGAAGAGACTGAAGAGAGAACTCCTTGAAACAAACAAAACTGAAAGAAGCTGTGGTAAAAGCCGGGAACAGCGTCACAAATGAAGAATCAACAGTTTGGTGTCGACGGACCCTGGGATTGAAGCAGTCATTGCAAACAAGGGTTATACCACCAAATATTAAATGTGGTTTACTTTAAGAGTATTTGTTCCTGTAGATTTGCTCACCTTAAAGCTGTGGTGTAATACAAATGGTCATAAATCCTGAGTTATTTAACACATGTAAGTACCAGGAAATAAAAGCTGACATTCTGAACTCTTGTCTCATCTTTGGATCTTAAACYCAAATGTTTTCAGTGAACAACAGAAACAAGAGAATTTGACTTGTTGTTCCAACACTGTTGGAGGGTACTATACTTGATGCTTACTGTTGATGTTTTGTACAGTTTGCTTATTATTGACAGATAATGTTTAACACAGTGATAAAACCCTTTTTGTCCAGATAATAACTGGTGTAGTAATAAAGGCCATTTGGAGGAAGGAAATGTTATTGCTGTCTGGTCATGGAGGTAACAGTAACTGGTGTAGTAATAAAGGCCATTTGGAGGAAGGAAATGTTATTGCTGTCTGGTCATGGAGGTAACAGTAATGAAGGTTTTGCTGTAGTTGAGCAAATAACATCTTCAACACAATCATGTAATCTATCATTAATGTCGGTTAGAACAGAGTGGGACTATGTTGTCATAGGTTTTTATTTTAGGCTGCACAACATAAATTTAAACTCTGGAGCCCAGTTTAGAAAAATACACTTTACATCACATGATCCATGATTTGATCTATTTTATCACCTAATCAGCACACATGGCCTAGTTTATATTGTAGAAGCTGTAAGTGGTTAGTCTGTAATTACAAAAGCAGAAGGTGATGAGTGAAGAAGCTCACCTGTTGTGATCACATGACAGGTGGACAATAAGGTAACAGGTGTGGACTTACCTTGTGGCCCACGGCTGCTCCGGCTCTGAGCAGGTACAGAACTGTGTTCAGCTGATTGTTTTCACAGGCTGCCATCAGTGGAGTCCTGTGCTCGTCATCAAACATGTCCAGATTGGCTCCAGCCTGGGTGAACATCAGAACCACAGAGTATGTTTACGTTAACAAGAGCAGCTAAAAAGGACTGTCAGTATAACATTTACAACAAAAGCAGAAACATGAAAGGATCCTCTTATTAAATCTGCTAAACCTTTGCATGCAACTGGTTTCACCTCCCACACATTAAGAACCTGAAAGTTRCCTTCTGTATTTATGAATATACCCTCTAAATGAACATTATGTTAGAGATAGAAAACATTTCTAGTTCAGGGCCTAAATGTGACTCTCTGTGAGGCCCAACCATCCTTTCCTCTTTTAGAACTCCTTCCATATATCAAAATATCTGGGTCACCTCACCTGGACCAACATGTGGCAGATCTCCTGATGACCCTCTGCAGCTGCTGTGTGAAGTGGGGTGCGTTTGTTCTGGCCATCCATTAGAACGTTGGGGTCCTTCCCATCAACTGTAACAAACAACTATTGAGTTTCACATGTACTTTAATGAGACTCCTAATTCTCTTTCTATACAAGATCACTGTAGATCAGTGCTGACTATATGGTTCAGACTTCTGTGGAGGTCTCACCGTGTGATCACTGAACATGATAGATTGTTGAATAAGAACTAGAATAGTTCCTGGAGAGACTCTGACGGGGCTTGCCACATGCTGTTTAATTTAAATTAAGGGTGTATTCACACCAGGAAAGTCTTTTGCTCCTCTTCTTTGGTCCAGATTAAAAGCAGACTTTTTTATTTTTATTTATTTATTTTTTGTTGGTGCGGTTTGCATTCACATTGTGCTTTTCTGCAAACGGACTATAATTTATAAACAAAGCCAGGCGTGAAACGATCGTTGCTCCCAGAGCACAGACTCGTGAAGTCCAATAAGGTGCATGTTTCCTGTAGTTGATTTGGTTCGAGGCCAGTCTGTATTCACACCAGAAGTGAACTGCACCAGTTTGTTTGGAAACGGGCCAAGACCACCTCAAAAATGAGTCTCTGTCAAGTTGTTTTATCCTCACCAGGGTTAGCATGAGTGTATTCACACCTGCATAAAAGGTTCGGACCAACGGGGAAACAAACTCTGGTCTGTTTAAAGTGGACCAAATGTGTCAGGTGTGAATACACCCTAAGATTTGAGTTTACTATTTGCTGGGGATCACTGTCATAGACAATCACACTAAATTTCACCTCAGTATGGCTAAAATGACTGCGTTATGATCAATTCTTCTGTTTATCCATGGCAGACATCTTAAATTTTTTGATTTGGCTTCAGTATCTGATGGAGATTGTTCCCAGCCACCACCACACCAAAKTTCAGCTCAATTTTTTCATAAAATGCAGTTTCAAATTAGCTCTTGTGGCCATCTTAATCTTTTATTTAGAATTCAGAATTTGTCACAGCTTGTTCTTGGCTATTACTATGCCAGTTTTCAGTTTTATAAGTGTAAAAATGAATTATAGCCTTATCTAAAACTAGCATTAGTGATTAGCTTAAACTTGTGATTAGCAATCAGCTCTCAGATACCAACCCCCCATATTTCAAATGTGTATGTCACAAAACTTCGGAGCTATCTGGGTGCCATGTTGAACTACACAAACTCCATCTTTCTCCCTCTCACTCAGGAGGCTATTCTGCCAAGTAACGGTCTCGACCAATCAGAAGGCCAGATTACAATGTCGTTAGGAGGTAGAAAGCAGCAGGTGTCAAGTTTCTGCACGTCAAAGGGAGGAATATGCAGAAAAGTTTAGTTCAAACCAGCTGTTGTKTAAAAACTATAAGGTCTACTGAAATAACTCTTGAACTATGAGTGACAGAAGAGATTGGTTCTTACTCATGAAAGAGAGCTTTATGTCAGATATGATGAGTAGAAAACAGTCTTTGTTTTGCTTGTGAACAGGAGTGTGAGAAAACTTTTACATGGAGCAGAACGGGATGAGAACTGGTACCAATGTGGCGCTTTGAGAGAAAACCATTTGTCCTACAGCAAAACCAGGACTATTGTCTGCTATGTTTGATATGTCTGTGTATCATGAAAAACCTAAATGTACAAAGAAGCTGTTTGCTAAGCCAGAGAGCTTTCCACATACTGAACGGCTGAAATCGGCTCTCATTGTCGCAGTTTCATGACAAAAATCACATTGTTCTGTTTGCAGCTTTGAATCTGYCGCTCTTATTGTCACAACCCGACGGAAGAACGTCTGCAGACAAGTGTGCAGCTTTAACCGGGACAGATTGTGTGTCTCAGAGGCGAGGTAAGGTGTGTACAAAAACAAACGCTAAACGACCACGTGACTGCGTGTCGACTGTTCGGCTACAGATGAGTATGTGGAGGCCTTAAATCACATGACTCAGAGTGGGAGCTGAGCTCAGTCTATTCCTTTGAGGGTTTTTTGATGGTAGTTTTTTGTGATTTATATCACACACCTCCAACCACTGAGCTGGGGTCTCATTTATAAAGGATTGCGTGGAAACCATACCAAAAGTGAACGTATGGCCAAAAGGCAGAAATGGCGTACACCAAAAAAAAAAAAAAAAAATTCAGATTTATAAAACCGTGCGTACGCATGTTTCTGCGCATCTTTCCTTTATAAATCACAGCGTCACCTCAGTTTGCGCACAAGGTCCCGCCTCAGGTTCTACCCTCTACACGCCCACAYTCAACCATAAACAGTCAATGYAAAGTACCTCATGAATGTTAAGATGTATTTAAATCAGTCAGCTGATCAATGTCAACAAAAGTGATTGGTTCAGACAYGCTCCGTYGTGCGTCTGGAGGTTGACAGGTGCTGACTGACAGCTGCTCACGTGGACAGAATGTCTGTAACTGACACAGATTTTCCCTCATTTTGCTTTAGAGTAATCTAACGATTTTTATAAAAATCTCAGCTTCAAATTAATTTTCTCTCAGAGCCTGCAGGACGATAAAAACAATAAAAATTAAATTATATAAGTCAGATAAAATTAGAAATAAGTCCACCGCTCTTCTCCTCGTCCTCTCCCCTTCATGCCTGCTCTGTTATCTGCAGACACCCCCTCCCCCGCACGTGACAAATACGGACTTTAAACGTGAAGTTTTATAACATCCACACTGGCGAGGTGGATGCGCCCTGCGCGTGTATCCAAAGCGTGACTTGTGCTGTCCTGCTGTTCTTGTCGGGGAGGGGTCTGTGGGTCAGAGAGGGGTCTGTGGGTCAGGGAGGGGTCTGTGGGTCAGGGTCGTCTGAGGTGGAAGCAGAAGAATGGAGTTGCGCACGTGAACTTTTATTTAAGATTTAAGTTTTTTTATTTCAAAGATCCTCATGGCTCAGCAGCAGAAGCATAAATATTACTGTTAAGAAAGCTGATGATAAAGATAAATAAAAATCTAAGTCTGATTATGAAGATAAATTAAATCTCTGACACTGATCATTACACAGCGTGGCTATAATTCCTCACTTCACCATCTGTGTCGGTTTCCTGTCTCCAAAATGAGCGTTTCTGGGCTCATATTGTGCGTACGCCAGTTTTATAAATCCGACCCCTGGTCGTTTTCATTTAAAATTTGTACGATGGCATGTTGCTGTTCAGGCTGTATTAATGTAAGACTATATAAAGACAGATAAAAATAAAATATAGAGATCCTTTCAGGTAATATGGACATATAGATAATAAAAGGTGCCTCCATTCAAATGAAATGGCAAGTCCTAATTAAACTGACTGCACTCACTACATCGTTAACACAAGTGTCTCACTCAGCAGGTTTCCAGTAATTTTACCAAGAAGCTAGCTGACAAACTTTCTGGAGCACCTGAAGAGAAGCAGAGTGAAAGCAGTTTCCTGTGTATGAGTTACCTAAAAGCTGAATAACCCGCTGCAGGTCTCCTTGTTTTGCAGAAACATAAAGCTGCCTGGCAGGAAACTTCACCTTTTTTAGTTTCAGGCTGAAAAAAAAAAGAAAGAAAAAAAAAGTCCACATCAGTTTTTTTGTGTCACAGCAGAAGATGCAGTTTGTTCTTGTTTGCACGTCTCTTCTTACTTCTCATCATCCAGTGACACAAGGATGCTCTCCAGGGACTCTTTAGGAAGTCTGTCTGCAGAAGGTGAACCTTGTCCCTTTGGCCTTTGGACAACAGAACACATTAAATTTACACTTCCTGCACRGCTGAGCTGGATCAGAGGAACCAGAGTGGACATGATGTCTTAACTTTCTGCTTATGAATAAAAACAAATCAAACATCATCATCGTCACGGTGGTTTGACCTGCTCGAGCTCTGATCTCTGCTCCTCTGGGGCTCGCTGCTCTTCTTTGCTCTCAGTATTCGAGGCACAGCTGGTGTGGTTGGAACTGACGGCAGCGTGGCTACGACAGGCAGCGAGGGCCCGGGGTTTGATCTGGGTACAGAGGGTGACGGGTCAGGCTTTAAAACCTTGACATCTGTCACCCCGCCAGCGTCCTCTCCACAGTGTGGGCAAAACCTGCGATCCTTCAAGATGGAGGCACATTCACGGTGAAAACGGTGGGAAATGCTTCCATATGGCCTACACTCCATGAAGGAGCCCTGAGCAATGAAAAGGAAAACATTTCAAGGTTAATAAATACAGTATTTCTAACTACCTCACCTATTATTAATGTGATGTGTTCTTGTCAGGCTGAACCTCATTGTTAAAGCATTTAAAGTAGGTCTATGGGCTGTAAATGAACTGTACTTATAACCAGGACACTCAAAGCTCTTTACAACATGTGTCCTCCTTTACCCTTCCACACAGCTCTCTACTACATCTGTTTACAAAGCTAACCTGTAGAAATCTTCCTATAGAGACTCACCAGTGCTTTCAATCACATTCATACACTGACGGGACACATCAGAGGCAGTGGGAGTTCAGTGTCTTGCATTAGATGTCAAAGTGCCCACTTACTGAGGCACTTTGACATGTGACTCAGTAAGTGGGGAATGTTACCACCAACTCTCTCATTGAAGCTTAAACAATAAGGAATTATTTTACATAGGTCCAAGTGGTATGACCTCAAATTCATATCATGGTATAAACTGAATCCCTTCACAGTAATGGTATATATGGCTGTGGAAAATTATCATAAAAAGCAAAGAATGTAATTTTTAGAGCATTTATTTTGCAGAAAACTATAATCATAATCAAACACAGCATTTTTACTGTAGTGCAAATGAACATAACAGAAGTACAAAAGAAGGTTTTATACTGTATGTATGTGTATATATATATATATATATATATATATATATCAAAACGGTTTCAACAACAAACAAAAACCTCTCAAATTTTCAACAATATCAAAATAAAGTTGATATACAAGTTGTTAATTAAATTGACAAATTGCCAAAAATGCTATGCTCTGCTGCTCTCAGAGCAGAACTGTTACATTAGCAAGATGGATTTATGACTGAACAAATGTCCACATCTTTATCATCTCTGTGGGTAACAATACATAAAAAACAAGTTTTTTCTCCGACAACTTGGGTGTGAAAAAACTACTGTTGTTAAAGCTTCGCTCTGCGTGATGTGCTGCGGGAGGGAGAGAGGAGGAAATGATCCCACGGCACGACGTAACTTTTCTACAGCGGGAGGAGGAAATTTTGAGGATTTATTCTCTCATATTTATTTTCATTATGTTTCAAACTCCTCCTGCTCAGTTGTCTCTGCACTCGCAGCCATGGTGACACAGGTGTAACTGATGACAGGACAGTAGAGGGTAAATTTGTACAGTAGGCCTACTTCATACCGTTTCTACCATCTAATGCATATACTGCACAGCCCTAATTTTACACAAATAAACTGATTTTTATATGTTCTTGTACATTTTTTTTTGAGTTGTTGGAAAAATATGCGTTGATCAAAATGGTATGTCTGAATAAACAGGATTCAGCTGGATTTCTTGTTAAAACTTTATTTTTRATCTTCTGACTCCAGTCAGGTTCATTCAGCACTCAGCAGCACAGGCCTCAGCGTACAACCTTGAGCTGAATCAAAACAAACACGGGAGTTCTGCTCTGAGCAGACACTCTGCAAMACACTGACAACTTCTTTCTACTGTAATAATGAATTGAGCTTTTAATGTACATCTCTTCCTGGTTACACCCCAGAGGTGTTACCTTTTACGTCAGAACATTACTCAGTTTTGTTTAGGCTAAGAGAAAGAACACATGATAACACACCAACTCTTATTTTGTTATGGCCTTAAAGCTGTAATGATCAGAAAGTATAAAATACAAAACTGAATCTAATATTCAATTAATCAGTTACAAAATTTCTTCAGAGTCATGAAAATAAGTTTAAAAAATGCCTGCTGATCTCAGAGGCTGTTGACCAACAATCAGCATGGACACAATTCAAAACATCAGAAAACCAAACTAATGTTTATCACTGATCACTAAATGTTTTAGTCATTAGGAAACTCCTGTTATAACTCAAACTATTATTTACAGACACAAACTCCTGATTCAGAAGACAATTCTGTGAAATCACCACACAGACCGGTCCGGTTTTATTCCCCCTCAGGTCATCCATAAAATCAAGCTGGCCAGGTCCCACTCACATGTACGTGTTCAGAAATGAACCAGCAGTGCAGAACCAGAAGAGGTGTGGAGCAGAACTCAGCTGGTCTGAAGTGGACCACCTGTGTGACAGACGTCTGCTGCCTCGTATCAAACAAAACTAACTTCACTTACTTTAGTGATCCTGTGATGGTTCAATATGTTTTAAACTAACTACACAGTTGCTGTTTCTCCTCATCTTTAATATTCCCTCTGTAATAAATCTGTTTGTTGGTTAGATGCTAGAGTCGCTCACTGATGTCATCAGCTCATTATCATTTTCTGAGCACAGAACTACAAGTTGATTTCTCACATATCAGCCTGCCAGGCTCGGTCCTGGCTCTGCTCATGGCTCATTTTACTCGCCTTTCCACCTCCATGATTTTTCTGAATGTTCTAAGGAGGACAGCTGGACTGAGCAGTCTTATGAATAAGGTTTAAGTAATGTAAAGCCAGCTATTTGTAAAGTCTATCACATTAATACAAAAACAACCCAGAATATGTGTAATGTAACAAATATGAGTATTAGTATGCTTGGTTTCCTCTTACCACCCTGCAGAACACTCCACAGCCAGGACAGCATTGGTGTTTGACCATGCTGGCTCGGTGGTCCTCACACAGGACTAGCAGCTGGACCATGTTCGAGGGTCGCATCATTTCCTGCTTTATCACCGGCCTCTGGCAATGACTCAGCTGAAGAGAAATCAAAATAATAAAAACCTTTCACACTTATTTAAATTACAGGCATCATGACTCTACTGAACCATTGAAAGCCTAAAAAACCTGAGCCAGCCAGTTTATTACTAACACTTTCTGACATCACCTCTTGTACCTTTCACCAACATAATGTTGTGATTTAAAACACAAACCATTAGTAAAGATACAGTAGAAATAAATGTAACATAAAAGCTAAAAGGGAAGTAAAAATAATACAAAGATGAAGTAATGTGAAATAAAAGTTAAATCAAATTTAAACAACAGGAGCCACTCCASGATGAAAATAAAGATAATCTTTTCAAGGTTTAGTGTTAACATGACTCACAAGAGCTTCACAAACACAGTGATTATTTTACCAAGTTAATTATTTAGCTGCAAAACAAGTCTTTAATGAGGTCTATGAGGTAGAAGAAGAAACTGCAGCAMCCCCTGAAATGGTGGTCTGATGATGTATTTTTGAATGAACTTAAGAGKACAGTATGTTAACTGTAGATTACACAGAACTGGTTGTGTACTTCAGAAGAACAAAGTGTTGATAATATATTTTACCATTCCATCTGAGCTGTCCATGGCCATGCAGGTTTGACCCACTGTGGACAGACTCCCTCCTCTGTTAGGAGTCTCCATGCGACAGCAGCACAGAGGTAACTCCTCAGCCATGTCATCCCCCTCAGCATCTCCTGCAGCAGCACACCAGATAACACAAAAACATGCAAACAAATTTAGAACGATGATTCTCCTTGAAGTATTTGTCAAATCTGCCTGRTTGGCCACTTAAAAATCCAAGATGGCTGCCTTTGTTGATGATCTGATTTCCACCCAGTCATCATTTGGTAATACAATTATTTGATTGAATGCTCTTTGTGTCACTTTGTTTTCTTCTGATATCAGCTTTGTGTGATGGAAGTAACACATGTTAGCGAGTACATATAACAAGATATTGGCAGTTGATGGAAAAGTGGTCTAACACAGTGGTTCCCAACCTGGAGCTGCCAGAGAGTGGGGACCCAAAGCACTGTCTGCTCAGAGGTTGTACAAATATCAATTGTATATAAAAATCACAAAAACATGTTCATTAGAGTAATTAAAACTGTAGAACTCAGTTTAGTTTCTKTCCCCATTTTCCAAATAAATTTTTACAACTATTCACTTCATTCTTTTGTTCTTTTGATAAAGAAATAAATGTTGAGCACGTCTTTGGGAGAGGTGGGGAGCAGGGAGGGACTTCCTCAGGACACAGCTGCAGCTGTTTTGTTCAAACCCTGTAAACAACATTATGAGGGATTTCATGCAATGTGTCACATTAAATTATGTGGTAAAAATGACTCTCAGCTACTACCACCCCACAGTTAGCTCAGTATCTGTGACAGAGTTAAATACACCGTGCTGTTTTCTAAGCTCACATGGGTGTGGAGGCCACCTTGAATTTATTTATTTATTTATTTATTTTATTTTTTTTGCAGAGAAACATCGAAAGAATAATAATTGAAACTTTTATTAAAATGTTTTTAGATTATACAAACTGTGTTGTACCTCTCAGCCTCAGGCAATAAAAATCTGCTCTACAGAAAAGAAATCTTCCATGCTGATGTGTRAACAGCTTGTCTGAATCAGAGTGTATAAGCTGTATTTATCACCTGAAAGAGGAGGTGAGAGCAGCTCCTCCTGAGCTCTCAGGTCCAGGCAGTCCAAAGCCAGCTCTGTATATTCTACAGACTCAGCTCCCTCCACCAGAGGCTCCTCCTTTTTGCACTCGGCCTGTTCTGCAGCTTCCTCAGTCTGAGGCTGAGCCCCAGAGTTGTCCCCCGTTGTCTTGCTCATCATCTCACTGGCTTTAGGCTCCTCTTTCTGGGAGAAAACAGGAAGTGAGAAGTCACGTCAAAAAATTCTGACAGATTTTCCTGCAGTGAAACAAACACATTGTGCTGGAATATAAAGTGAGGAGTGAGATCATTCAGACTGTCAGAGGAACCTCTGGGTTTCAGTCAGAACTAGCTGAACCTGCCTTCACCTGTTGTTTGACAGCTTTACTCTTCTTTTTGGGAACAAGGTTGTACATTCCCATTTTCCTCTTCCTCTTCTTCACAGCTGCAAGAATAAAATCAGAGATCAGACGAGTTGTCACCTTGAAACCAATAAAAGCCAATTAAAATATTGTTATTCAGTTTGTAGAGGAACAAATATTAACGATGTTACAAAATTATTTTCTGAATTTCACAACTGTTTGCAGGGACTGAAATGAATAAATAATCAAGTCTAAGACTGCAACAGGTTCTGATCTGAACTGTAATCTGATTACACCATTAATAACAAACAATCACAGAAAAACATCACTTCCAAAATATTCTGTTTTTCCACTTATGTGCAACAAGAACGTGTTGCCTAAATACAAATGTTCTTGTGTTTGCAGTCTGAAAAGAGTAAATGTTTAGAAACAGAAAAAGGAAKGAACCTGCATGAGCTCTGACGGAGGACTGTACTCCCTCTACTTCCTGTTTGTGTTGAGGCTCAGAATCAGATGGTGGTCCAGAGGGCAGACTGTCTGACTGTGGTGCTTCTTTACCAGCAGGCTTTGGGACGAACATGGAGACAGAATGAAACGATAAATATCTATTTTTATTTATTCAGTCTCTGTCTGTCTGTTTGTTTATTTATTTATTTAAAGGGGCAATATCATGTAAAATCAACTTTTTTGAGTTTTATATCATGTTATAATGTTAC